TTGATATAGAATCATTAATTACGTATACAAACCTTATAAAAAACGTATCATTTCCTTATTTCGATTTCTTATAAGGAGTCACTCTTGGAGAGTTTGAAGAAGGTGAATTGTGTTTCCCCCAACTCAAAATTATCATACCACTCAGGCCGAATCAGGTAGTAGCATTTTCTTCTCATTTCCTGCTTCACAGTAATTTCCCGTTACAAAAGGCATCTGGCATAGTGTCATTTACTTTGTTCATAGCTCATTCTTTCACCATCTGCGGAATTTCACACTTGTGTATAACGATCTCGAGAATGGGGTCAAGAGGGATACTTATGGATCAATTGTTTCTTCAATCTCTTGACAAGACCTTAAAAATGCACAAGGTCGAAATCATTTAACGAGACTCAACAAGCCAAAAAGTAATCAAATTCTAGTTCCACCGGCATCCACAGATTGTAGGAGAAGGCATATTGGTAAGGCTTTATCCTAGTGCTAGATTTGCTAATAATATGAGTGAAAAAAAGTTATGATAATCACTATTTTTTTTAGATTTAACCTGAGCTCGACTTGGATTAAAAGCAGAAGATCTGCTATCTGAATAATAGACGAAATGCACAGCTTTGCTGGATAATATAGAGTAGATAGTCTAGATTCATTATTTTGTAGCTAAATATAAACAAATAATAATCACGAATTATATTTCGGGCTAAGTCTCAATTCTTGTATTTATTTTTATCTTTATTAATAAAAAATTTTTCTTGGTAAAATTCTCAGAATGCATAGAATATATATTCCTAGAATGCATAGAAATTAAGAATTCTCAAATTTTTTATTACTTTATAAAATGACTGGCATACTAACACCATCTTTTCACATATATTACTCAAAGCAACTTAACCAGCTTCCTTGATCTATCAAAATAGATATTTGGCGACACCTAACATCTCGAAAATATCTGTTATTGCTGGAACAGGCAGGTAGTATTCATCCTGAAGTGGAAGATATGCTAAATCAGGCAGTTGAAAAATATATTAAGAAAAAAGAGCATCGGAGGATGAAGCCTATTACCAGCGACTGTAAAACTTCGTTAAGGCAAGAAAATGAGGAATTGTGTATATCAAAGCAGGTATTGGAAAAAAAGATTGAAGAGCTTCTCAATTTGCAAAAGCAGTATAAGTCTTGTGAGGTAGCCATGACCAGGTCTTTAGAGGAGAGTGGTGAGAAAGTCACCCAATTATCAGATTCAGTAGCTTTCTTCAAAAGTATAATTCCTGATATGAAAAAAGCTATTGCATCAGCTAAAAGTCCATTGATATGTTAGAGAATAAATGCTGGCATCTGGAGGATATTATTTTTGCTAAAGATAGAAAAATCATCGCTATTGCTGATAAGATCTCTTCTTATACAAGATATAGTAATATAAATATAGAACAAGAAATATATTCCAGCACTTATGAAAGGAAATTATGGGTAAAAAGGCGTAGTGAGTCTGAATATGACCTTGAAGTCCAGAAAAAATATACATTTCGTCTCACTTCATCAATAGCTTTAGGGGAGGATTCTTCTCATTAGTTGGGGTACTTTTTTCCTTGTACTTTTGCAAAGTAAGATCCTGGTCAAGATCATGCGCTATTTGAGGATCTATATAAATAACCGGTTCTCTCATATTTCTATATAATCACGAAAAAAAGAATGGCATTTCAGAGACCTCATCCAAGGCAGAGAAGAATATGTGAAGAACATAAAGCTGAGTTGGAGAAGGAGAATTATTATCTTCGTAGTGAATTGCAGACAGAGGTGGATCTTTATCGCCAAAATGAAAGATGAATTAATCAACTGGAGCGAGATTATTCCTAATGTGAACAAGAAATTCATGATCTTAATAGGGAGATAGAGCGCCTTGAAAAGCTTCGAAAGAAGAGATAATAGAGTTAAAATCTGAAATCTCTATCTTAAAAAGTCAGCTATATCAAGCTACGAAAGATGTGCGAGATAAGAGAAAATATATTTTTAGTTTAGAAGAGCAGTTAGTAGAATCTGAGGAACAAGTTAAGAAATTGCGATGCCAGATCAGAAGCATCTCATCACGAAAAAATTCCCCTAAATGAGGGAATTCTCCAGACTTGTATAATTCCAATGATAATATGGTCACAATTACAGAGCTAGCAAATGCTATAGATGGCTATGTGGATAATAGGGCAATGACTAGAGATATTCTGATAGATCAAATAAAAGGGCAACAAGGCAAATTCGCCGAAAAGAGAATAATTTGCATCAGGATTTAGTCCGTAAGCAATGAAGGCGCTATGATGCAGAGACTGAGCATGATAATGAAATTATATAAAGGCAACTTGCTGAAGGAGTGGAACAAAGGGCTATTGGTGATCTTTATCAGTTGTGAACCAATGCTCGAAATCAAGTAAATAGAATGTTAGATAATATAACAGGAAAGCGAACCCGTATTGGTATATTGCTACAGGAAAAATTTGCCTTACAATTACTGTATCAGCGAAATGCCCACTACTACAAAATTCTCACCAGAATATTTTAAATTTACAGGGACAAATTTTAGCGTTACAGAATAATCCACCAAATCAAATAAACATGGCTTTACCAGCAGGGATGCAGATGCCTGAATTATATAGCTTTGAACAAGATCATGAAAATTATGTAGATGTTTTTATAGCATATATCAATTATGGAGGTATAAATGATGAAGTAAGAATTCGCAATATACTGAACTGATCTGTAAAAGGAGAAGTGCGAGAATGGTACCATAGAGAGTTTGATAACAAAAACTGGGAATTACAAAATGTACTTGATAATTCTGCCATAGGTGCTAATATTAGGATCATTTGTGATGCTAATGCAGTAGCCATAACAGAAGCAGTCAATTCTTTTCCAAATGTTCCACTAGGTTTAGCAGGTGCAGACATTATCCCAGCTCGAGAATTTGATGAAAATTGGACAATAGCTGGAGGACGACCAACTAATGCAGTACCAGTTGCGATAAATGCTGGAGGTGATGTTCCTGCTATTCTTGCAGGAATTCGGTCTGGACAAAGGTTACATCGCATTAAAAAACACTTTTCATCTGCTGATAAGTATTTGAAAATGCTTGAAATTAATACGTTAAAACAAGGAATACATGAAAGTGTACCATCTTTTTGGGCAAAAATTCAAAAGTATAGAAATCAATTAGGTTATACTCCTGCATAAAAGAAAACAAGTTTTATATCTGGAGTAAGACATGATGTATTGAATGACATTTTTACGATTGGTCGTCACAGACCTACTAATGATATCTTGATAGTTTAGAAGAAATGGAATTATGTCGTGGGGTAATAGGTCTACCACCATCATATTTTAGTTATACACAAGCCTCTCCTACCATTTCCAATATTGCGTTTCAACAGCAAGGAATATCTTTAGAAGATATGCAAAAAGCATTAGCATAACAAAAAACTGAATACCAGTCTTTATTAGAAAAGCAGAAAAATGAATTCCAAGTATAGATGGCCCAACAAAGCAAGAAAACTCCTCCACCAATTCCACCTAAAAATATGGAACAGCTTCTTGATACATATGAAAGTGCTAATCCCTTTGATGAACCTCCCCTACCACATAAACCTGATAAATTACGTTCAGCAAGAATTGATAGATTGGAAAACATAGTAGGTAAAGTTGTAGATACAGTAGGTAGTGTTGCTGATTCTGTGGGTTAATTAAGTAATCAATTAGAAAGGATGATACTTAATGAACAATCGTGAAAACCTTTCTATTGTGGTAATTGTGGACAGGAATAGCATAAGAAAAATAGTTGTCTTAAGTTAAATCCTGTAGCTAAATCCAATTTTACTCAGCGTTATTATCTCCAACTTCCATTCACACAGCCCTAATACTCATTTCCCGATTCAGATGATAATGATAATGAGAAAAATGGTTATGTCAAAGCAGATAATAAGTGGTATTATGCATTGGAAAAAAAAACAGTCGCTAGTAAATAACAAGTTGCTCCCAGAATCTAGCCAACCCAAAACATATGATGAGCTGTTGCCAAAACTTTCACTGGCAATGTGGAAGATATGCTTGACACATAAAGCTCAGGAGAAGGAAAAGGAATCGAAGACAGATGAATGGTTTTCATCTTTACAATACTTACATTGTAATATAAATGACCTATTGATCACTAATTTTTTTTTAGATAACGCGAGTGAATTCGGGGGAGTGAATGATGTAACAATTAATGCTCTTGAATGGAAAGTTGACAAGCCATCTAACTTCGCTATAAAGGGTAACTCCAAATATATAACTGAATCATTGGGATGGTATACAGATGTGCCAATTAGTGTAAAGGATAAGGACGGTAAGACTGTTACAGCTACTGGAAATTTTGCTCGTATTGATAATGGTGAACCCGAACCAATGCTATGTATAGGTATAACATGGATTCGAAAGGTTCAAGGCATTCTTGATCTGACTAAAAACCAATTTCGCATGAAGGATCATGGTAAGACTTGCATTATTCCAACATATAGCAAGACCCCAGTAGCTAAGGATCCGCCAAAAGAGGAGTAAGATTCATCACCTGGGATGTTTCTCAAGTATCTACTAACTTCTCTAGCCCAAATAGTGAGAAGGATTTAAAAAAAAGTGCAAAGAGCTTGAAAAGCGTTTCTTGAAAACTGAAAAATGGCTTAACTTAGCATTAAATGCAGGTAAAGTCCTAGTAGAAAGATACTCTCAGCTTACAAAGATAAGAATGGATGCATAACAATTTTTCCTGTAATATCTAATAATTTTCCAAGATCAGATTCTCATCTAGATGTATCATTTTTTTCTGAAGATTTGCTTTTCAGTTTCATACTAACCTTTTTTTTCTGACTAATCCTATCTTTTTGCCCGCTAGTTACTGTATTCAGATTAATAGAATTTTTACCATTTTGACTAGTGTCATCTGCATGAATGATCCCATCTCCTTGTATATTAGTAGAAGAGAAAGTATCAACACTACACTGCGGTTCTAAGGGGATCTGCTTCATATCTTCCGACTGTGAAGATTCTTGGTTATCTTCTAAAGTCCAACTAGAAATATAAATAAAATCTAGAATTTTACGCCATTCTTCCGTTGGTTCAGAAGGCCTCTTATTATCAATAATTTTTGATATGTTGTTGATCCTATACAATGTTTTTTATACATAATACGCTGAGCATAAGGAATATTATTTCGAGCATTTCTAATTTCTTCAATAGCTTCAGGTGATAAGCGAGTGGCATTTGAATTAAGAAATTTACGAGTATGGGTTGTCTGCTTTTTGCTCATAGTTTGCTAGTAATAAATCTGTATGATACTAATAAAAAACTTGTATAAAATTTATTCGAAATCTATTTGATATTGGTCTAATATTGGTCTGGCATTGGTTTGATACATATATGTAGTTCACTTTCTTTACAGTGTAGCATACTATAATCATGATTCAAATAAAAAATAGGTTTAGGATACATATGCTTTAAATATCATATTTATTTGAAACTAGTTTCTTATTGGTCTTTTATTAGTTTGATATTGGTTTGATTCTGAACTCTTTTTTCCATATTTGAAGAAAAATATACATATGAATGATAATTTCACTGACAGGTTGTGAGGACATGTCTTAGAAAAAAATCATAAAAAACTTTGCTTTTAAATAAATTCATATGGCAAATGTGCATACGCTAAATGAGATAAATAATGGGACACCTCTGGTATCTGGTAATAAACTTAGGGATTCATCATCTAATCGGTATCCGTCTAGCCAAACTGAGCTTGAAAACCAACTTGCATGTGTCAATCGAGACCGAGAAATTGATATAAGCTGTGGTAATCAACTTGGTACTAGATGTGATCAATTAATAAAAAATAATGAGAGGCTTTCAGAGCGTGTATGTCAGCTTGAAAATGAGGTGAGAGAATTCAAAAATCAGATCATCCATAAAGATATTTCTTTCACTAAAGCTGAGAACGAGATCATTACAAAATTGGAAGAGATACAAGCTCTCCAATCGGAAATAAAAGAGTTGGAAATGAAGTATTTTTTAGCCTAGAAAGACTTATCAGAAATGGATTCCCTTAGACGAGAGTTGGCGCAAACAAGGCAAACCGTTGAGCTAAAGAATGTTGACTTAGATCTGAAGAAAGATGAATTATGCGAAAAAAAAGGTGAATTAATGTGGTTGAAGGATGATTAACCTCAACACGAATAGAATTAATGGATAAAAAAGAAGAATTAATGCAGATGAGAGATAATTTGTCTTCAGTATAAAAGACATTATCAGAGAAAGAGATCCTCCTTCAAGAGACTAATACTTATTTAGCTGAGCAGATTCCAGAAACATTTAGCGAGTCTGAAGTGCTTGGAGGTGTTAAAAGACTGGAGAAAGGTAATGAAATCACTAGCCTCGAAACAACCTCAGCATCACCCAATTCCTTCTTTTTTCAGCTTGCAATCTTTCTTATAATACTATTACTAATCATATACTTCATGTGGTCTATCTTCTCCCGCCTATATTCCTTTATATCGCTCTTTAATGACGAGAAAATTTTTCTGAAATATAAATCACCTTTAATAGAAATCAGAGTTATGGATTTCCAATTCGACACACAGAAGAATCAAAAGACATGACTGCCTCCTATGAAACTTTACCTTATGAATATGGATGAGATCACAAAGCACGAATCATCTCAAATTCAATCATTTTGCCAATCCTTTAAAGGTTTGTCCTATTTAAATCTAATTGATAAGGAATTATCAGATGGTCTTCGGATATCAATAACCACAAAATGTTTTTTTATCACTTCATAAACCTTTTTTGCTAGAGGCTCATAATCATTATACATATCTTTAAAAATTCATTTTATACTATCTAATGTTTCACATCCACGATGCAATGAAATATATTTAAAATTTGCACGTATGTTTAGATGAATTTCATAGAAACGCTAGGCAATATAAATTGAGCTAATTTCATCATGCCTGCCTGATCTAAAGAAAGGAATGATTTTTAGTTGTGTTGGCAGAGGTTCGCCAGCAAGATCATCAAAGACTATAACAGTAAATCAGCCAGTTCTTTTGAAAGATGAAATATCAGGTAGTTCTTCAGGCGCGATCTGCTTGAATCTCACATTTTCATACCATAAAGCTTGCTTATCCATAACTATAAATTCATAAAAACATTGTACTACTTCCCATAACTCTTCATCTTGGTGTTGCGTAATAATAATTAGATCATCACATGGAATATACCTTTCACCAAAATTTTTGCTTTCGCCTTTTGGTATTTTATGACCACGCTTTTCACCAGACATCTACGAATATATTTTTGGATATTTATTTCCTAAAAGCAGATGTACTACCATTCTCGTCTTTCCAGACTCATAGATGTCCGCAACTCCTAGTCTAAATGGATGTTTAGGAGCGTTTTTTTGAAAGTATAGTTTCATCTAATTTGCGTAGTTCATAATATTGCATAGTATTTGAAAAGTAGGATACTTATTCAAGAAACATATTTTTGTTAACCGCAATGTCAAAAATTTTTCTTTGAATGATGCCAGTTTTTTTTCGTAATTATAAAAGAGAATAGGAGAACCTTTGATTTATATTAATCCTCAGAAAGCTCGAGACTTAGATCAACTCATAGCAAAACAAAAGCCTACGATTTTTATTAATCCTCAAAAAGCTCATAATTTAGACCGGCATCTTGCCTTGCAAAAACTATATTATTGTCCTGAAGGCCTGTATCAAAATGCTAAGGGATTATAGGATGCTTGTAAAAAAGCCTACTACAGCTTTCCATTTATTGATGTAAAAAAATGGCTTGATAGGCAAGCAATGTACCAAATTTTTCGTCCTTCTCCAAAGAATATACCTTATGCCAGCTACTCTAAAATTATGAAACCTAATACCGTACACTAATGTGATTTGATCAAAATACTATATGATGATATAGATACAAATTTACTAGATGATGGCCCAATATTTTACTATGTATTATTAGTTATAGACTGTGTGACTAGATTCAAAGATTTTGTTTTCTTAACATCAAAAAGTAGTGAAGAAGTTGCAGAAGCATTTAAGAGTATATATGATAATCCCGATAAGCCTCTTAACTAGTCTCGAAAACTACAATGTGATAAAGGCACTGAGTTTATAAGATACATAACTTTATTAATGAACGAACATAGCATTGAAATCCAAAGAATTATAGCACATTTTAGACATACAAGCTTGGCCATAGTTGACCGTTATGCTGGATTATTCGAATTAAGGGTTTTTAAAAATCAGTATTCAATAGAGTTTCTCCTGCCTACTGGTAAGCGCTGTAGAGAATGTGAGCGGTTTGCAAGAAAAATTGTTGATAATATGAATGATAGCCCAACTCGATTAATTGGGATGAGTCCTAATGACGCCACAAAACTTGAGCAGATATACTCCAAACCATCAGTAAAATATAATCGCCCAATAAGTGTTGATGAACCACAACTACCAAAGGGTACTACTATCTGATTTTTGCTCGCTTCTGGAGAGTAGGAAAACAATCCTTTCGAATGACGCAGAATAATAGATCCGATATGGTTTCCTAGCCTGCATAAAATCTAAAGGATTGTTGTCGGAAAGAATCCCCAATGCCTATTTTATATTATTTAGATGATTCAGGACCCCAATGTCCCTTCATAAGAGAACAGTTAATGCATATTATAGAAGAGCCTATATTGCCTCCTAGGTGGATATTG